TGCTGTTGTTCTAAATAATGATATTATATACAAATAGATTGACACTAGCGTTGCGATACTGAGGTACACAAATTAAGCCAATTGTTGTAGTTACATTGCAACTCTGTAGACTGCCATCTCTTTCCGTACCATACGTTGTATATTATCTGTCACATTCACTTATGTATATGTATAATGCAAAGCGGAACAATTTTTAAACTGAAATGAACAAGGACCCAAAAAAAGGAAGAGAAGTGAAAATTGGTTAGAGGAAGATAATAAGGTTGGTGTTATAATTTCGTTATTTTTTTTTAATGTGAGAAAGTGACAATCAAATTGGCGGTTCACCTGAGGTTGTGATAACCGCTGCCCACGGACATTTGCAACAAGTTAGGGTTGCAGATAGGTAGGGTTGCAGATTGGTAGGGTTGCAGATGCGTTGCCACCTTATTTTAGTAGACGCTACACAGTTTTACACTCACCAGACGTTCCAGTATTCTTCTACTTCATGCCGGTCTTCTGCGAGGTCGTGGTACTAACCCGGACGGACCCGCCCATTCATGCAACAGCGAACACTGTTGCGTGACCCTACCATAGTTATATTCGCAATTCTAGAACTTCGCACTAATTTTCAAGCATGCGTTAACTATCAAAATTTACTGTTCTTGCTTCCTAATATTATCTTAAAAGATTTTATGAAGAAGCGTCTTCGTAACATTGAAAATAAAAGCACCAAGATGAACACTAATGCAATGAAGGTGGCGGCGTGGAATGATTTAAGGAAACTTATGATAGAAATCTGCCTGTCTGTCTGTCTCGCTTTCTCTCTAAAACTATTGAACCGATTTACATGAAATTTGGTACACAGATAGTCTAGAGCCTGAGAAAGGTCATAGAATTATTTACTACTCATAGAATTTTTTAATTATAAAAAAAGTGTTGTTAAAGGCTTTAATGCCAGCGAAACCGCGGGCTAAAAACTAGTAAGTTATATAACACACCTTTTACGTATTTATGTAACTATAACTCAATAATTTTATATCAATAGTACTTAGCTTTACCAGCAGAGCCTTAACTCACAAAAACCAATAAACTGACCCGCATACGTTGTAAGATTTGATTTTATACCCATCAAAAACAAATTCCAACCGCCCCCACTCTAGGGAGTAGGAAATATCACGTGACGCAATAGGTGTCAAATCACCAACTTTTAAATTAATCACAACAAAATGTACCTACTTATAAATTATTAATTAGATAAAATATCATACAGTTTATTGATCTAATATTTACATATTAAATCTATCTAAAATTACATATTATCTAATACCTAATCCACGCGGCATGGTGCCAAGAACGCTAGCTGCATTTCCTCGCTGAGTAGTTATGCTTAACCTTTGAGCCAGAAAAGAACCAGCTCTCTTGTCACCAGCCACGGCGTTAAGCCTAGGTCGTAAATAAATAAAAATTATTATTAATATTGTACACAATTATTATATATGTATGCCTATAAAACAGGCAGAATTCGGGTCCCCCACGGACCTAAAGTTAAAAAAATAAATAAAAATTATTATTAATATTGTACACAATTATTATATATGTATTAGTGATATAAATACTGTAACATTTACTTGTCTCTCTCTTGTTCTCTTTAACACGAAATACTAAAATTTTTTGTACATGGAACATACTGACAAAGCTACATTCAAACCTTTTAAGTATTAATTTTTCAAGAGATATATTTTTCTTTTACGTGAGAAGGTGGCAAACGTGCTGGGTGTCAACCTTATGTTAAGTGATAACGGCCGCCCATGGTCGTTTGCAACACCTGTAGGCTCACAGATGCGTTGTCACCTTTAAATAAAGGCAGAAGTATAACGCCGAAGTCTTCTGAAGTCGTGGCACTTACCTGGACGGACCTGCCCATTGGTGCAACAGCGAACACTGTTGCGTGGCCTTACCACAGTTCATATACTAGAATCTTTTTGATCATATAAATTATTCGACAGATTCAAGTATTAAGTGCGTTTGAACTCCCAGAGGCGGATATAATTTTTAACAACGGCTAGACAGCCATACTTCGAGAAATATTATTTTAAAATTAAAAGAAACGCAGGGTTTAATGGCTTATTTACATTTTGGCGTTCCCCCCAATATCGATTCTTCGAGCCGGATTTGTTTACAGCTTACACGCGATAACATCACGGATGAAATTACCTTAAGCCTATAATCCACAGCGGAACACCATAGCAAGGCAGCAACACGAAACCAACTCAAAATCAAAGATGTTTAGATCGATTTCGTAACTGGCGTGTCGATTAAATGGAACGCAAGAACAAAACGCCAGTCTATTATTCAATTTGCTTCGTGTCGGCATTTTGATCGTTTGTTTAATGTTGTTTGTAATTTATTCCAGAGATTGGCGATAAAGAAAAGTGGAACATATGCCGTGAGTAAAATAGAGTGGCAACGAATAAAACGTTTTATTAACGCGGTAACACAATTCTTAATGTCGCGTGTTATACAAACAACAATTATTTTTCACTTTCACACTAACGTATCTCATTCATTGGGTAGGCAGATTCTATGGATTACCACTCTTTTTTATGTGAAAATGTCATAAAAGATCTGGCGGTTTACCTGATGTTGAGAGATAACCGCCCATTGACATTTGCAACACCCGTAGGCTTGCAGATTCGTCGCTACCCTACTTACCCGCATTCGTGCAACAGCGAGGAGTATTGCGTGGTAACTCTACATGAGCCTTAGTTACATCTTTTCTTTTTTCCACATCAATACATTAATACACATCGATTATGGTTATCGTGAACTTCATTCACGTGTTTGTACTTTAATATTGTTTTAATATCGGTCCCCGATTGATATTAATCTTTATTAATCCAGTTACACCATCAACCAATATCCCAATTATATCAACATAACCACATTTCAAGCTAATGGCTTCAACTTAGCCAGATGATTGTACTAATTATTGTTCCGCGACAATTATGGAATGTATGGTTCGCTAATTACGATAAATAATTATAACATTTACAAATTAATCATAGCCAGAAATATTAAAATATTATCTCACGAACATAGTATTTTTCCAGTGTCTGGGTGTTTATGTCTATAACGCATTTTCGTTTCGTTTGACGCATTTACAACGCTACGGGTGTTCCATCACTCACAATCAGGTGAACCGCCAGCTCGTTTGCCACCTTCTCGCATAAAAACCAAGTCCAAATGATTATTTTCTGAAATATTCAGCTCACACATTGGTAGTATTAGATTTGAGCGCAGTTCGACGGGATTCAGACCGGACCGAAATCAAGAGCCTCACTAACGATTAATGAAACCCGAAACTCCATTCCGATGCTGAGCAATTGACGAAATACTTAAACATACATTAATTGGAGCGGAACTCTCATGACCTCAGCTGAAGTACCCTCAGTTTTGAGAGCTTTCGCGCAAAATAATAAGGAATATTAATATATTAATTTGAATACGAAGAAATTATTTGGTTTGCTTTTGTGTTTTTTTATTGAAAATTTAATTGAAAAAAAATATTGATTTATTGTTGTTTTTTTATTGAAAATTTAATTGTGGTCATTGATTCATTTTAAGTTTTGGTAAGTGTATATTTATCTTATGGTGTATAATAATACCATACTCTCTTTTATTTAACAAATTTAAGGCTTCTTGTGTGTATTTGTACACGGCTCAGCTAGTAGGTTTATTTTTCCTAAAGCTATTTTGCTCCATGGAGTAACTAGGGTCAAGTTAACCTTCATGATAGAAATCATTAACGGGGTAAAACCTACTAGGTACGTGGTGGAACCTAATATATGTTTACCGCACTCGACGGCGTGTGTGGTGTTTCTATTTAGTAATTATTGTTAACTTCAGTTAACTACTAACTAGTTAACGACTAACAAGTAGGTAAAACTCGTAGCCCGCTTGCCAATTAATAGACATAAATCTGAAAGGAATATACCCGAAGTGCTTTTTAAATTTTACTCTCTCAACGACCTCTCTTATAAAGAACGGAATGGACAATCGCTTCATTCAGGTCCTCCTTTTTTAATTACACACAATGCTTGTAGTGGTGTATAATCACAGCGGTTGGTTTCGATGTAGAAATCTTTTTTTTTTTTAGAAAAACATTGCCATTACTTTAGGATAATATTATCCTGTGTTGTAATGACGTTTTACAAACGTAAACGAAACGCAGACAAACACCCAGATACGAAACAAGTGTCTGTGGGTCACACAAATAGTTGTTTTTTTTATGGAGAAAAGGGGCAAACAAGCAGGAGGCTCACCTGATGGTAAGTGATTACCGCCGCCCATGAACACCTGCAACACCCGAGGGCTCATAAATGCCTTGCCGGCCTTTTAAGAAAGAGTGTGCTCTCTTCTTGAAGGTTCCCAGGTCGTAAAAGTAAAAAGTTAAGTAACAGCCTATACATGTCCCACTGCTGGGCAAAGGCCTCCTCTATAGAGAGGGTATCGGGGCATAGTCCACCACGCAGCCCCACTGCGTATTGGCGCACTTCACATATCTTCGAAATATCTATTTTTTGTTATTATTTCGAAAATATGCAGGTTTCCTCACGATGTTTTCCTTCACCGCGGACCACGTGATAAGTCAGCACTTAAAGTTAAAAACTTCATTGGTGCCGGCACCGGGGATCGAATTCAGGTTGCTCGAGTATACTGAACTAGAGGCGAGCGCCCGGACACTGAGCTATCATGGCTCTTCAGGCTCCCAGGTCGTAACGGTTCGGAAAGACCGCCGGCGGCAGTTGGTTTCACAGAGTGGTTGTGCGAGGCCAGAAATACCTTAAAAATCACGCTGTTGTTTCACGCTGTCACGAAATTTTTGGTTCTGGCGCGATGTCCGATGGTGGAATTCAGCCGCCGGGATCGATCCAAACAATTCTTCAGAACACTCCCCGTGATAAATGCGGTAGAAGATGCAGAGTGATCCAACATCTCCACGCAGAGCCAAAGGATCAAGCCGATCGGAAAGACTTTTGTGCCGTGTGGGAATCGAACCCACGACCCCTGACGTCGAAGCCAATACCTTGGCAACTGCGCCACGGAGTCATCAACGTGGATGTTTCGTGCGTGTGGTTCCTGAAAATGCGAAACTGACGTACCTTGGAGGGCGTGGTGGTGCCGTGGTGACGGGCGGCGGCCGAGTGGGCGCGCCGCGTCGCCTTGTAGTGGAGTCTGCGCAGAGCGCCGCCGAGCCGCTCGGGGGAGCCCTCGCCGCGGGCCACCGTCATGCTTCCGTCTGCTCCTGCGTCAGGGTTTTGGTCAGGTTTTCTTTATGTGATAACATGGCAGCGAGCTGGCGGTTCACCTGATGGTAAGTGATAACCGAACCCTGTAGTCCCGGGCTCATAGAATAGGGCTAAGGTCTCCTGCCCCGGAGTCCCGGAGTCCCTCCAAATGTATAGAAGGTGGCCACCGAGAGGATTTTAGTGGGTAAAAACCCCACATAACCCTGTCAAATAAGGTGATATCTTTCGAAGACCCCCCCGATTCAAAAAAAAGTGATAACCGCCGCCCATAGACACTTGCAACATCCCCAGGGTTGCGAAGGCGTCGTTGCCGCCTTTCATTGAAGTGAAGAAGAAACGAAACGCAAAAGCACAATACTTCTACTTCACGCCGGTCTTCTGTGAGATCGTGGTACTTCCCCGGAATGACCGGCCCATTCTTGCATCGGCGAACTAATCCGTGGTCCTGCCTGGTATGTGAAAAGATCAAGTGGGCAGGGTCACCTGGTGATAAGTGATTGCCGCCCATAGATGCGTTAACCATTAAAGTGAGCCCCGGTTACCTCACTCATCAAACAAAAGGCGAAAATATAATAGGTTTACTTCACGCGGGTGTTCTGTAAGGCCGTGGTGCTTCCCCGGATGAACCAGCCCATTCGTGCAGTAGACCCTACCACAGATTATTGCTCGTTAGAGAAATACATGCTACCTTTAACTGCGCGAGACGTGCCCAAAGAACAGCAATATCATCTATAAAATGGTCACAAATTGTGAAGATGACATTGTTAAAAGGTAAGTTTTATTAACAAGCAAATTATTCGTATGGTAAGCGGTTACTTAGCCTATCCGAGACAGGAGAGGGGTTGCGAGCTTTCGTCCTTACTTGCGAGAGAATTTAATTCTCCTGTTAGGGCATGGTATCCCTAGTAGATCCGTATTGCATATGGATATCAATTATACGCAAATATAAAATGACGCAAGCTACGTGTTTTATTGAAAGCAACAATAACAAATTGAACAAAGGTTTGAGTTGTGAACAAGTCTTACCTGCGGCGAGTTCGGGGGAGGGTCGAGAAGAATGGATCTTGGGGGCCTGGTGTCGCCCATCCGACTGTAACAAAGGGCGCATTAGTGTAACTTAATCGCGTGTAAACATTTAATGCGACGTTTATCGGGCCGAAAGAAGTTTGCCTAACAAAAACGAAACGTTTGAAATGCCCTATTCAAACAAACGTTAATCTGACTACACTGAATTAAAATCCTACAACAGATTATGCTTAAGAATGTTAGACTGTGTTTTATTTGTTACGAGTTAAATGAAGAAGAATTTAGTAGAATTTAAACTGAATCAGTCTTTCTTAATCAGATGATTAGACGTTTGTCGTAAAATAGTCGGGCGTAAATCGCAAATCCGATAGGCATCGTGTTAGTATACTATTTTAATTAAAGCAAATTAGAGGATGAATAAACCATTTTCCAGATGAGGGATTCAAACACAATTTAAGAGATTAAAAATTTAAATGAAACACAATTAAAAGGAGGGAAAAACACAATTTAAGTTCGATAAAAATTAGTTACAATAAGATTTATGAGATACATTTGACGACTCTTTTTCTCATTTATTCAACTGATGTAATTAATCAGTAATTTTTATGATTTCATATTTATTTGAACGTGCCTTTTAATGTGACATGTGATGAGCCAGTCAACATACGCCGAAAAAAAATCTAGCAATCAATTTTAATTAAAGGTTAATTAAGCCTCAATGCTCTCAAACTTCTAGGTACGTACACCTTTTTTGTTACAAAGCAGTTTTTTTTTACATTTTCATTTTGTCATCTCTACAAAACCTTTTTTCCAGCTACAAAGTCATCGCGTTGTTATGTGTTTACAGCGAAAGATTAATAAATATATGAATAGCAAAAAGTTAAAATTTTCAATTGTTTGAACAAGGGTTTGCCAGAACTGAACCTTTAACGTTATTCGTCCATTAATGTTGTTCGTCCCGAAACCATTACGTACATGTTTAGTAAAGTAACAAGATATACAATTAGTATTTGTTCGAGTAACCGAGCATACTCATTAACATATAAAAGCTTCGCGATCCAACAAATGGCAACACTTGACGAGTTTTCCGAACGCCACAAAGCGAGCAATTTCAATACAATTAACATCGGTTTCCCATTATAAATATAAGTTAACACTCGCCACAAACAAAATAACTCGATGAACAATACATATTATATTGATTTTTAATTTTTATTCAGTCCAGCAAATACGCTATGAGCGTAAAAAGAAAACTGTATTTTGACTCCAAATGTTATCAACAACAAACAATGTTTTGTGTTAATGTTTATCATAACAGGATAAAAGAATATATGTTAATTTCTTATATTCACGCGATTACACATTATGGTACCATGAACGCTTTAAAGGGTTCGAAACGGCGGGAATTAAAATTAAAAATAAACGCGATAAATCCGTAAAATTAGTTTCATTTATAAAAAAATACAGCCAATTCTATTCTTACTTAGTCTCAAAATTAACAGTAAAAGTAAAGGGTAGGTCGGAAAGTTCCTCCAAGACCTCTCAGAAGACCATCGTGAAGTGTATGTTATACTTCTGCGTTTCGTCAGATGAGTGAGGTAAAGCCCACTTTCTTAAAAGGTGGCAACGCATCGGCAACCCTACAGGTGTTACAAATGTACATGGGCGGCGGCTATCACTTAACATCAGATGAACCGCCGGCTCGCTTGCCACCTTCTCACATAAAAAAAGTATTTATTGCTAGAAGAAATGTATCGTCTTCTTCGTTCTCCTGCACTTATACACTAGGTGGTGTCGGGTCAACATGCCTTTTCCTTTCAATTTCCTCTATCAGACATCATCTCAGTACCCACTCATCATTTCTAACATATCATTCTTCACACAGACCATCCAAATCTTTCTCGGTCTTCCTTTAGATTCACTGTATGTATTGTAATGAACTTTATTGTTTTATCCTGAGCTTTTTTTTAACGGCTTTAACGGTGGTAGGGCCACGCAACAGCCTCGGCTGTTGCACGAATGGGCAGGCCCGCCGGGTGAGTACCACGACCTCACAGAAGACCAGCGTAAAGTGGAAGTATGACAAATACTTTCGCGTTTCGTCTGGTGAGTGAGGCAGCCGGAGCCCAATTTTCAAAAGGTTGTCAACGCATCTGCAAACCCTCGGGTGTAGCAGATGTCCATGGGCGGCGGTATTCACTTAACATCAGGTGAACCGTCTGGCTCGTTTGGCAACTTTTCACATAAAAAAAAGCTTTGAATGGATTTTAATTAATGTATCATTGAAAACTCTTCGGAATTTATTTAATGTATCAGCTCGGTTAGACATTAACGGTTAAGTTAGAATAATTATTTACTAAATTACGGTTGTCACTGTATGTTTTCCCACTCTTCATTTATGTTTGTAAGACATCTATTTATGTTTGGAACAATTAAAGTAAGGAAACAGCCTAAAAATATCCTACTGCTGAGCAAAGGCCTCCTCTGTAAAGAGGGTATCAGGGCATAGTCCACCACGCGACCCCAATGCGGATTGGCAGACTTCACATATTTTCGAAATATACAGCGTGTCGTTACCATCGCGACAATAAATGAACACACGTCTAACGCTACTTGCCAATAATCATAAAAAATATTAACGTTAAAAAATCCACAATTAAAAAAAATATTTTTCAAACAATCTAATTAAGTAAAAAAGAAAAAAAATAGTAACATCCTATACAACTACAACTGACTGATTCATAAATTCAGAGACTTTTTCATTCATTGCCACAGCGTCGTATTACAAGCCTCTCCTTCTAACAGTATGTTTTGTCTCTTTTAAATTCATTCAACCCATTCATATGCTTTGTGACCTTTACAAATGAACTTTATGTTACAGTTTTATACGTAAGGATGTTGTAAAATTGTTTGTTTTGGAAAATTTAATAACTTTGTAAATATTGATGTTTAAAGAATGTAAATGTTTAATACAATTTTAAAAAGCTATCCTCTATATGTGCGTTTATTTATTGTCGCGATTGTAAAGACACGCTGTATATATGTTTTTGTTATTCTTTCGAAAATATGCAGGTTTCCTCACGATGTTTTCCTTCACCACCGAGCACGAGATAAGTCAACACTTGAAATTAACAATTTCATTGGTGCCGGCTCCGGGGACCGAACTCAGGCTCAACTCAGGAGTAAATTGAACTAAAGGCGAGTGCCGGACACTGAACTATCACGGCTCGGAAGACTAACTTTATATTAAATAATTAAAGAAATTAGCTTTCTGGAATATGATTTTATCAAAATTTTACCAAGCAGTTAGGAAAAGACAGGGTAAAATGTCTAAGGCAAATGTCTGTGTCTGAAACCATTATTTAGTATTAAAGGAAAGCTTCCGCCTAGTTTCTCTTTATTCATCATTTATACAGGGAGTGTTTTTGAGAAGTGCCCAATTTTACACAGGAGGTTCAGACTCGGTAATATAATCGTTTATTCAAATAAAAAACAAAGTTTTTTTTTCCAAAAAAATGCTCTTCTATTCCCTAAAAAACAGAACGTGTTGACAATGCGGTAGTCATTCATAAATACCTAAATTTTCCTGTGCACGAACTTGTGTGCGTGTTAGTTATGAATGATTGCGCATAAATTAAATGAGTTGCGTATAAATCACGCACTTTTGAGATAAGTTCAAATTAATGTAATTAATTACTTACGAATGATTTTAAATATTTATCATCTTTTATATAACATTATTTATGTCTAGTTATGTCTAGAATTTAATTAAAATAATGGATACACTTAGAAAAGCCACCCTGTATCTAATATATAGATACATAAAGAGTTTGTCTATAAATTTCTAAATAGAGCTATTAATTATCGGATTCACACTATTTTTTCATGTTTTCTTAGTCTTGACTCATTTTTATGGTTCCGTACCTCAAAACGAAAAAAGGAACCCTTGTTGAAATTACTTCGTTAGCCGTCCGTCTGCCTGTCAAGACCCTTTTTCTTGCGAACGCGTAGAGGCATCAAGTCGGAATTAATATCAAATATTCGAATGTGATCTATGGAGCTGTGAAAAAATCAAAGTTCTAAGTCAACACATTCGAAAGATACTTCTGTTCATACCGCATATTTTATAATTAGGAAGGGAATCAAAACTTATGGGGTACTTCAGAATAATATACATAAATAAATAAAATGAATTTTATTAAATTACTAGCTACAATAAGACTGTAATGCATGGTAATAAATATAAGTATAAGTACCCGGAGGACCGAGCTTTGCTCGGTTTGTTTTTTTTTTTTTTGTAAATCGTGTATTTTGGAAATTACATTTAGATACAAACTACTGAGTAATGAAATATGCATAATATTTTTCGATCTTACCGACTTAATAATAAGAAAATATGAACTGATGTTTTTCACAAAAGAAAGAACTTTAAAAAAAAGGGAATAAAATAACAAAAAAACAAATCGACAAAAAATTAAAAATAAAGAAAGTAATGATCTGGAATCGAAAAGAAAGTAAAAAAATAAATGTGTAAATGATCATGACGCGAACCACGGCCGTCTGTTTTGGGGCCGCCCGATTACCGACCGAGCTATTATGACATTTTCTCTTGCGGCGAAATTGACCGTCATATTCGAATTATATTTTTCATTCCCTGAAAACAGGGATAAAAGGACATTTTCTAAAAATGAAACCTAGCTAGATTGATTTTTCGCCCCCGAATCTACGCACATACTAAATTTCATGAAAATCGCTGCAGCCGTTTCCGAGATTCCGATTATATATATATACAAGAATTGCTCGTTTAAAGGATAAGATAAGTGAATATAATAATATATGAATGAAAATATTACTGAACTAGCTGATAATGGCGGCTTCGCGCGGTCAAAGGGAATTTACAATGAGTTTTTATTATACACCAGAATAGCTCGCAGATGGCAGAATTTTTTCCTACTTACTTGATACTTATTGTTATATTTTGGATAACTCACATAATAGTTTTTATTAATTAAAGCCTATGTGCTATTCTGATGTATTAGTTATATTATTGTAAAGATTCATTAAAATCCGTTCAGTAGTTTT